AAACCATCACTGAAGTCGGATAATACCCACGTTGTACTCTGTTGACTAATTGACAACACGTTGGCTCAGTTTGTAGTACCTACTTGTTGTGCCAGCGGTCGCGGGTTCGAGTCCCGCTGGGGGCATTCATTTGTGTGATGAGCACGAATGTTTGTACTTCTGTCATGGATGTTGATATTTATAATATGTATGTATTTAAAGTTATATATGTGTAATGTATCAACTATCTGGTATCCATAACACAAACCTCGTAGCTTACCATGGAACTAGATGGTGCTTTGTGTTAATGTCCCAACAAAAAAAAAATTGGGAAGCTTCCTTAGAGCTTTGAGCATAAATACGGTCATTTTGTTTGTTAAAAAATTGCTCAATTGTAAAAAAAATCTCATCCGTAAACAAAAATTTTCTGTGGCCTACCTTAGCGTAGCGTTTAAGTAGTTGTTTTGATTTTACCACCCTATTCTTTTTTAAATTATCAGTTAAGAAATGACCAGTGCGTCTCTTATAGGCTGCAAGTCCTAAGTCATCTTTTAAAATAGGCGACATGGTTCTAGGTGCTATTTTCGTCTCCCGAGATAAAATCTTTTGCCTTCGGACAGGATTTTTTCGATTTTTTTCCCTTACTGCTTTGATCGCCTTTTTCATACGAACACTACGTGGACAGCCAGATCTTTTTCTGTCACAAACAGAGGAGGTTTCATTGTACCTATCAATAGCCCGGTACACAAACATTTGACTAATACCAAGCGTATGGAGAGTTAAAAATTGAATTTGGCTCCATACCTACTTTCTGTAATGCAATCACAGCGATTCGGTTCTCTTTATGGCGCGAAAATGAGAAAACACAATGAATAATCATATAAAATGACAGATTGCAAATTCAAATGTAATATTTTGTTTATTTTATGGCCAGACTATGTATAGGTATATATATTATTCGTTGAAAAAAGGCGTCAACCAAGAACCAAGGCGCAAGACTGACAATCACAGGTATCGGGGTTCGAATTTTTACTTTTGCTTTTTTTTGTATTTATTCAAATCTTTTGTTTTTTTTATCTAAACAATACGATAAATCAAAATAGAACTACGAGCGAAGCTCGGTCGCTCAGGTATTTATAGTATTATGTTAGCCGAGTGCAATTAGTCATCCCAAATGAAAAATGACGGAACCCAGTTAAAATGAATGGATTTGAATGATTTTTTCTTTGGATTTTTAATACCATAAACTAAAAAGTTTACCCATTAAAATTACTGCTGTTTTGAAAATCTGCAAATTAAAAAAAAGATAAAGTTTCTAGAAATCTCTACAAAAATATACAATATATAATATCGGAATTTTTAAATATTTATTTTAAGAAAATAATAACTGCTATAGTTTTTGTGATGATGAAAAATGAAAAATGTTCCAAACAAGTTGGGAGGCATTTCTAAGAAAATTTTGCAAATGGTCACCAAATTTGAAGCGCTAAGAATTGACTTTATTTTTGATGGTGTGTAATAAATGCTATGCTAGCAGTCTTATAAATCATCTAATTATTACCCAAGTATTATATATAAAAATCAGCTTTTATACTATAACGTAAGTAGAATTATGATTTCATGAAAAGGGTGTCTGGCAAGAGTTTGCCACGATGTTAAGTGTCTGGCATTGAATGACGTGATTTTTAATAATATTCTGAAGGTAATACCAAAAAATCACACTTTATTATTTGACGAATTTAGATCGGTATTTTACACACCTTTAGTACCATGTACCTGCCAAAGCCATTATACCCTGAACTTCATAATGGTCCACCATTCTTATGTGTTGGAAGCATGCGCTGACAAACTTTCAGCCTTTATAAAATGACGAAGGTCTGGCGTTCACGGGCTCTTCCTCTAATAGCATATTATGCCTATCTCCTAATGTATACTTGCATTACCTACTTTTATCTATACATATATTAAAAAAGTTACTAAGCGAAATTGATGTGTGCGTTTCACGCAAAAGCACCTTCTGAACCGATTTTAACTAAATTTTGTGTAGTGATAACTTATTACTCGGGTCAACATTTAAGATACCTATTCCTATAGGAAAATCTTTTATTCCTTCGGGAAAACCCAATAACTGGTTCTATCGAGTCGTCCTTAGTTTACATGTCTAACGCTGGCATGGAAACAATGTACCTACTAGAAAATTGTAGGTCTTAATAAGGCTTACAGAAAAATCTGCAAAAGCATAAGTCTTTCTCCTAAGGTGCACTCGCAATAACTATTCATATCGATGGGTGAAACGCGATTTGGTTTAAGCGACATTTTCTTAATGAGAGCCAATTTAATGAGTTTTTGTTCAAAAAAAATCATTAAATTAGCTTTTCTGTAAAGTTAATAAAATGTCGCTTAAACCAAATAGCCTTTCACCCGTCGATATCTACAACGCATCTAGGTAAACGAGCGAAGCGAGGGTAAGTCACTATATTTTATATAGAACCTGAGTTATTCTCGAAAAAAAAATTATAGCTGTAAAAGGAATGTACTATACCATAGTCTGATGTTGTCAGCTTTGAAACATTGTCACTAAAAACGGAAAGCATTTTAGCAAAATAAAAAAATAAACCTTTCTTTAATTTAAGGTTTCAATTAGAAAAACTAAGACTTAAAAAATTATTGATAACTCTAAAATTGTAATATTTTTTATTATCATATTATCGAAGTTAGAATAATTATTAAGGAAATTATTTTTCTAATACAGGAATCCCTGTCCAATAATACATAGGTTGCAAGTCTTTTTTAGGAAAACCACTTAGTTTGTAAAATCTTTGCAATTGGCAAAAAGATTTGAGAAGTCCCAAAAAGACAGGTCCACAACGGTCGTTCACGATTTTTTATTATTGTTTTTGGCAAGAATGCATAAACTATATTATAAAAAAAAAAGGATAAAATGTGCCCTCTTAATGATCTGATGGATAGTGTAAGTGATTCTTTTATAATCCGAGGGTTGAGTAAATATTTTCATTTCTTATATTTTGTTTTACTCTGTTTTTTTCATTGAACCATTAAAAAAAATTACATTATAGTTAGTGTGCATTGAATGCACAAAACAAAGACTATTTACAATGTCATAGATATAGTTTACTTGATCTAATTCTGTTTCATATTTTTTGTTATTTTATATTAAAAAAATACAAAGCAGAAAAGGTTTATGATATCTGAATTGTCAAAGAATGATAGCTGTCATATTTCCGTGGAATTAAAAATCAGACTATAGAAGTAGCATTATTTTCATGGGACAAACCTTAAAAAAACATTAGCGGAAGGTTTCAAAAGATAAGCTTTTTAATTTTTAGTAGAAAAAATCCAATATCAGACAAATCCATTCTAATAGCGAGTAGGGTAAGGTTCCGAGGTATAAACCTAATTGCACTTGACTAATTGACAGACATCTTAAACACAAACTAGAAAGCCTGAAAGGTCGAAGACTTATGCCAGTTACTAAATTATTATTATTCTTCGACATTTTCGATAATAAGATATGTTTTTTCAACCGACTTCTTCAAAAAAGGAGGAGATTCTCAATTCGGCTGTATGCTTTTTATGTTTGTTACCTCAGAATTTCTTCATTTATTAACCGAATTGGAAAATTTTTGTTTTGTTTGAAAGTGTATAATAAAAAAAAATTAACTTTAATGTAAACATTAATTTTGTTTTAAGTATTTTTATTTAACTGTAGGTAGATACTTACTGTAATATTATCATATTTTAAACTTTTTATTTACAATATCATTAGACATGAAAATGATATTTCAGTTTTAAATTCCTAGTTCTAATTTTTTTATTTGTTATCTGTTTCTGGGCCTAAAGAAGTACAATAAAAATAAATAAAATTTCAGAGAATTTTCCACATTTACAAGACTTTAAATTTTAATACTTATTAAAACTAAACCCGTATGTAGTAAACTATACATATAATAAAATTCTGAGTCTAATCCGTGCATAAAATATTTTTTTTGAAAATCTTATTGAAATAGTCATTATTATCGATACAGAGGCCGAATCTAAAGTTTTTTGAATTTTTGTCTGTCTGTCGGGACTGTAGTCATCACGAGAAAATCACTGGACAGATTTTGATGACAGGTGATGATGATACGTATGATTTTAATGTTTGGTAGATGAAACGTATTCATATAAGAAAAAGTTTTGCATATAGGTATGTCTGCTGAATTTAATATCCACGTAGATACAAAACGCTCGTAATATGAGTTCACTTAGTTCGGGTGTCTTAGTTTTGTATAAATGATTTTTTTGTATTTGGTAAATAAACAAATAAATAAATAAATATTAGACAAAATAATTCTTAAAAAAATTACTAGCTTACATCTAGATCTTAAGCCTAATTTAGGTACTTTACAAAGTGAATAGTGGTTCGTGTTAAAGCTTCATTCAAGTAAGTAAATTCATAAGGTATGTATTAGTATCGGGAATTTAAAAAAAATTGTGAGCCATGCGACTTTAATAAAACTAATGTCATACAAGAAATGTCGTAAATATAAATAGAAGATAGCGTAGTGGCTGATGGGAGGTGCATTGTTGTCTGATTTGTCAATTCGTTTGAGAATATCACGACAGTAAATAGATTATGAAAGAAGTTGGAATTAATAGATTAGTTTTTTAAAATTAATTTAACATACAGTAAAAGAATAAAATAATATCAGTGACGGGTTTCTTCTATTTTCTTCGCATGTTTCATGTTAAAACTTCTTAAATTGATATAGGAACAAAATCAGCTTTCACAATGATCTCAGAATCAGTAACAATCTGACAAATCATTATGAAAACCAGTTTCGTAATTCCTTTTTCTTCTGAGTCTTCCGTTTCTATTTGATTTTCCCGTCTTCATTTCATTCTTCTTTTGAGACGTCACGACTTCGAATCTAACATTCACTATGCGGTATTAAAAACACAATAAATATCAAACTGACTTAGTTCTAACACAGCTACACACAATAGAGTAGACAATATGAATGGATTTGTCATCGCTCTATTGGGTGAAGTATGCGGCGGGAATGGGATGTGACGTGCGCGCGCGCCGGGACGCTCCCATTATCCGCATGCTATATGACATCATGCTGACTCAAGTATCATCTCAGCGGCCTCACCCCCTGCGTCTCTCCTGTAACACGGAATACATAAATTTGTTACTTTACCAGTAAAATCTTTTAACAGATCTGTAAGTATAGTTTCATCATGTTTATAACAGTGACTCGTGTCATTTACTAATATAGAAATAACGAAGGCGGCCCAGGTTAAGCAGCATAGTAAAGCAACGCGGGCTCACCCACACCGCAAAGGAACTAATTAGGCAAGCCGTAGAGTGCGCCGGCGCTGGTCCGCCACACAACCACAAATGGTTCGAATAAGCGCTTCGGCCTTGTTGGGGCGGTTGCGCAGGAGTCGTGGCGCCGCTACAATTATACTTTAAATCTATTAATACCAATAGTTATGATCTATTTGTCAAGAATATGTCACTGTAGAGCTTTAAATGAGTTAAGCACCAAAGAGGAAAGCGAGGAAACTTTGCAGGCATAAACAAAACACATGAATTCTTTAGATATTAAAATGCTACTTGTGCCTAATTATTACGAGTTAATAATAAAAATGATTTATTAAATGTTATTTATAGATGAATATTGTCTTGTAAAAGGCATTGAAGCAATTGTGAGACGGCAACGGTAGCGTCGCAGGTGCGTGCAAGGCTAAAGTGACGTCACGTCCGCAGCTCTCAATGGAATCGAACTATGTGGGACACACGTGCCACCCCGTTCCCCTTACCCTGCACTTTACCCCTCAGCACATCCCACGTTCGCACCCGCAATACTGCTCTAATTGCTGACAACTATGGGAATTATCACAAATGAATTACTTTTGATAAACAATAAATATACAAATATATTTGTAAAATAATAATGACTCGATTGTGGTTATAAATTTGGATAGTCACAAAACTGCATTAAATATTTTAAAAAACTCAAAATTTTATCAAAATTAAGCAGTTGAAAATATACAACAGTCCTTTCTTCGGTCAAGAACTACAAAGGCATAATATTCTATAGGATAAAGATTAAACTTATTATTATACTAATAGTAGAAATACCTTACTGTTCCAGATACTTTTTTTGTTTATAAATAAAAAAAACGTAAATTCAAAAGGATAGTAAGACAGGCAATGACGAAATGTTAATAGATGCGACATCGCGACAAATATGTAGGGCGAGTGACGCATTGACTATTGATAGTGCGGTGCGCGCGGGCGTCGCGCACTTTCGCGCATTTAAACTCCGAGTCTGCGCTTGCCTCGCCGCCATTATCCTCACAACAATCCAACGGCGCTCTAGAATGCAGTGTGCGGCTACAAACAGCTATCTATGCATGCAAATTTATAATACTCGGAACACTCTAACCGTGTAATGTAGTTTAAATCTATTCTACGTTTGTCACAGTATAATTTAAATTTTAATGTAAGAGAGATAAAAACATACGTATATATAGATACTATATTTAAATACTCCCAAGTCTTATAATTCAAGTTTGAGGTAAAGTTGAAATTATTTAAATTCACGATAAATCAAACATCTATTACTTTTGGATTCCCCTTTATATATTTACTTCAAAAATATATGTTCCGCCGAGAAAAGCTTTATCATAGAAAACATTTTTATTAAAATAATCATCAAAGTAAATTTAGCCGAGACAAATAAATAGACTATAAAGTTGTCGTTAAATGAAGCTCTCACATTATCAGTGGACCTGCGCGGCTGGCATGGTGTTGTAGGAATGTCGTCGATAGTAGGAGAGCAGTGGCAGGCGCGGGACGGGCGCGGGACGGGCGCGGGACGGGCGCGGGGCGTTCGCAGGTATAGAGATAGAGCAAGCATTCCGTGGCTCTAACGGTGAGTTATTTCGCGGAGCACACGACGGCAGGCGTGAATGGCCGGGAGATGCAGCGCAGGCCACGACGCCCCCCGCGGCCTGCGCCCCGGCCCGCGCCCTGCCCCTGGGCCGTGGGGCGCATTCCTGCGAGCCTCGCACCGCTCACTGCTTGCGCAACGGCCGTGCGCCGCCGCATTCCATTCATAACGGCGCGCTACTTCAAGAACCAAGAGCTTGCGACTGTCGCTCGCCTGGACCTCGGTTACTGCTGCTCACGGCCTTCGTATTCCCAGAATAGGCAATAGTACGAGTTTTTTATGGCTTAGGACGCTATACTATATATTTATTTAAAGTTCACGGCGGTCGATCGCCGCAAATTCCGCCGTACGTTGACCCGCCCGCCACGGCTTTCTCCGACTTACTGTTTGCTATTGGAACGAATCTATTAATTGGAGAAACTTAGTTCACATATGAGCGTTGAAAGTAGACCGAATAAGCTTTGACGCTAGCTTTACAAATTTACAGTCTAATGAAGCTATGTCAAAAAGTACCGTGTAATTTGAGACCTTAGCTAAGAAAAAGTTTACACTTCGCTATGCAGTTTAATAATATATGATTTAATACTTTCTTAGATTTACGCGAATGTTTGACATTTTTAAATAAAACGATCTTTTCGGATTATTTCGCGGATTTATTTTGATTTTTGGTTCCCGACGTTGATGCTTTACAGCATCCATGGTCACGGGCCATAATAAAATAAATCCGCGAAATAATCCGAAAAGATAGTTTTATTTAAAAATATACGATTTTTTGTCTTTTTACTTTTATGCGAGACGTTACAGAACACATTATAAAATGCCATTATGCCGTAATATGGATAACGTTGTGCTACATTGGTTTCTCAAAGCATAATATGTAAAAAGCTGACAGCGTGTGAATTTCACACGGAGATTTCCCGATATTAGAATATATTTGTTATGTCGCCTGTCGCGGGGCTGTCAGGCGTTAGCACTTTATAAAGACAAAGAGTTATAGAGGCTTAGGTCTCAAGACGGGTCTGTATGGGGTTCAAAGGCATCGATAGCAAGCGCATCCGAATACTGGAGGCTGATTACCGCTCCCCTCTGCTCGTCGGTGAAATGTCACCAAACAGCATTCCGAAATATTTGAAACGACCTTTATGGCGCGAAAGAAAGTGTGAGGGGTGAGGGACACGGGGCCGCACGACCGTGGGACAGAGGCGCGCGCGCCAGTCGCACGGCGCTCCCCGCCCGCGCCGCGCCGCCTCCCGCATTCCAGCGCGCCTCCCTCCGAATTTATTCACCCGCGACACGCTGATACCGCACAACACTATACTCCACATTACTAATTCGTCTAATTTCACTTTTCCTGTACTAACCCATTTTCAGAATTATGAATATTAAAATTTCAAAGGTGTAATAACGTATGAAGCATCTTAAAATATACAGCTTACAATTAGTCTCTTACAATAGTCTTTAAGAAGTACCTACCTACTGCATTTAGCTACTCTGCTCAGTGCTCACCTTTCCTATAACGGTTTCTTTGAAAATTCTAAGTCTTTAGTAGGAAGTGAATTAAATACTAGTTTTTAAGAAACATTCGAAACGCCATCACGTTAGACATTTGGTATGTTAACTTAACATTTGGTATGAACTATGAAGTCTTGATCCTGAGTTGATGTGAAGATAGTGTTCGGGCGAGTGGCGGCGAGTGGCCGGGAAGAGACGAGAGCGGAGGCGGCGCGTCGCAAATAGCCCGTGACGCGGCGCGGCGGGCGCTGCACTTTCGCGCGGTCATGTGCCCGGCGCCGTAGCCAGACGCTCGTAATCGGCCCTCTATTTAAAAACGTCGTCGACGACGTCGCGTTCGGGTCCGCTACGGCGGGGAATGTGCGGCGACAATGCACGCGCGTCAACGACCGCGCACAGCGGAAGCGGCACACTTCCAGCCCGGAAACTTGCGCCCGCGCCTTAAGGGACCGACGAGCTATTTATAATCGACGCAGGGCACGGATGCGCTCATCAACAGCTGTGATGTAATGTGTTCATTTCGAATCTATGTCTTTAGATATACCGTAAGTAACGAGGGTAGGGGACTATTGAACTTTAACTAGTGATGCTCTTGGTATAATTTGAATATTATTTTTATATATAATATTTGTATTAGAATAATATATAATAATATAAGTAAAGAAAATATATATATATATATATATATATATATATATATATATATATATATATATATATATATACTATATATATATATATATATATATATATATATATATATATATATATATATATATAATAACTATATAAAAGCTAAAGCTTCAGTCGTTACTGGGTTATCAAAGGCAAGAAACCGAGACTTTGCTCAGACATAGAAATCGCGTGCGATGACGCTAGACGAAGGCTGACGTCAAATCGCCCTTCACCGTGCAATGCAAGAGAGTTGATAACTGTTATTTTTGTAATAATTCCCATTAATAGCGGGCGTTTAAAAATTTGCGTCGCGCTATTGAGCTCGATATGTATACGGAATAACGACGTGGGTAGGTATTAAAATAGTAATTAGATTTAAAATATCATTTGACGAAATATATGTAAACCATAGATAGATATCCAATTATTTACTACATTGACTAGTTGAATCGTTTGTATTTGAAAAGCTCTTGTAAAGTATAAGTAATACTATGTAAACAAGTCTTAAGTTGTGCTTACAAGAAATATCAGGAGTAAAGCTTTCAGTGATATTTTATTATTATTTAGTACTAGCATTGCCCGCGGCTCCACCCGCGTTCAGATGACCAAAAACCAAATTCTTAGGTTTTACATATTAGTATACTCTTATATCGCAATTTTTGTATTTTTTTCTCAAAAATGAGATTTTTCCCGCGGTAAAAAGTATCCTATATGTTGACCCGGATGACCAGCTAATAAACAATTTCATCAAAATCCCTCCAGTGGTTTTTCCGTGATGCGGTAACAGACAGACAGACAGACAGACAGACAAAAATTCTAAAAACTATAGATTCGGCCTCTGTATCGATAATAAAGTCTATTTCAATAAGATTTCCCAATAATATTCAATGTACAGATTCGGCTTAGTTACAATTTTATTATATGTATAGATTTAGTATTTTCGATTGTTATGAAAATTGTTATATTTAATAAATGGATATTATTCTACGTAACATAAATATGAAGTAATGATTTGAGGTGATTTTTCGTGATCTTTTCATTTCACAGTGAAGCATATGTTAAGACTACATGAGTTCCTCTGACTTAATAGCTCCTACGTGCCCATAGCGCGCGTCCCGCATATTAATGCTATGTAATTAAGGCGCGCTTTTACATTTTTAAACTGTTGATCACGACGCGACTAGGTATTCGATGTAAATATAGAATATTTCAGTCGGTGACTCGGGAGCGGAATTTAGAGGAAGCTACGTAACATATTCAGGCACAATAATAATCAATTTGAAATGGTGTTATGTCAGCGCGGTGTTGGGGTCAGAAACGTGTAAAATCTAATAAGAAATTTATAAAACGTAGTTTTAAAACGATAGTCATAATAAATAAATGATATATTATAAAATACATAATTGCTTTTTATGATAGACTAGTGCTACGAAGTTGCTACGATGTTGCTACGAAGCCTTTTAAGTAATTTAAAACTTTTTCGATCAAAATGAAAAAAATTGTAGAGAATTATTTATTAAACTATACAAAATATCTACTACCATAATACATGTACTTTATTAAAATGCATCGTTTGAGCTAACATTGCACATTCCTGACGATTGCGAACTGCGTTCGTCAAATTATTTACAAAGTAGAGGTATTTCAGCGGCAGATCGTATAACCGAAAGAGTATCGTTTACAAAGAACATGTGCATCATATTAATTCAATATGAATATATTTTGAAGTAAGTGTAGTTTAAGGAATCTTTAATTTTTATATATATGAATATATAAGACACTACGTAGACGTACATAGATGTCGGAACGGTGAGTGCGGGCGGCGTGTGACATCGTTTTAGTTTTCAGGGCAGCAGTCGTCTCGACGGCCGGTAGAGGCCACGGAACGTCGCGTCTAGGACCTAGATTCCGTGTATTGTTTTTAGTATAACGACGGTACGTGTCGCGGTGGCGCCAAGGCGCGGCGCACACGGCATGTTTTATTCAACGCAGCGACCCGCGCCGCCCCCCGAATTTCGTTAGCCTTGTCTCGGTCTCGCACACCGCTGACGCCTCTAATTACATACTAACAAGACCGATTTTAGAGCGTCACGATTATTCCGATTATCGGTAAAGTCAATATGTAATAATGGACGACACAGAAAAAAGTGTCACTTTATTCACAGAGGTTATTTTGAGTGACTTTCTAGTTTTAATTTTGTATATTAGCCAAAATGTTTATTCAATTTCTAAATGTATAAAGAAAATAATAAAAAGCAAGAGTCCAGATTTCACGGACAATAGAAATTCGTGGTATTATTGGGTGCTGTAGATGTTGCGTAAAGGGCGCACTAGGTATACAGGTCAAGGTTTCATTAGCGCCAACTTGACGTCTACATAATAATTCAAATATAAAACAATAAATATCATAATAGTATACGTTATAATAATATATACTTAATATTTATTATTTATATATTAGATACTTTGACAATGCTGGGAAATGATTGCTTTTTTATTAAGCACAAAAATGTAATGTAGTGAGAGTTAATACATAGTAGGTTTGTGAATAATACCGCTCATCGAGAGATGTGAGGCTCAGTTTAGGTGTAAAGGTCAATGACCGATAAAGTTCACGTTACGCCGACCCCTTTTTAATTTTAGCTACGTGTTTTAGTCTAGTTAGCCACGAATTATTTGAAATTTTTAGTTTGTTGTAATATAAATATATAAATTTATCGTAGTGCTACATACCTACTTTAAAAGAAATACACACTATATGTATTTTATTTAAAAATCTAATTTAGATAAAATAAATGATATCTATAAAACAATTCCATGTAAGGAGTAGTACAAGGGCTTACAAAGTTACAAAATGTTTAGGCTGCGCGTGAGCGTGAGGGGCGCCACTATCGCGCGGACGCGACGTAAGGTGCTCCTTATCGTGCCATTGTTCGCGCCGACAGATTTATAACTTCCCTTTGCCCTCAATAAGGGCCCGTGACCTCAGCACCTTCTACTCTACTCCCTAACGCATGTACTTCGCTTATTCCCTTGACTATTAACTATTATAATAAGTTTTATGTTTTTTCCCACAAACGATTAGAATTAGAAATATTAATGAGTGAATATTAAAGAACAATATATCAACTATAACTAGGGAACCTAATAAAAAACCAAATAAATATATTTTTTTTAAACATGAATATGATCTATGGATATTTTTTTTGTTTATAACTTTATTTGTTTATGTTGTTTACAGCTTTTGGCTGGCTGGCTATTACTAATGTAAATTTTAATTTAATTACTATATTAAATAAGATTTATTTTTATGTGGAACAGGGCGCTCTACCCGTATTTTTGGGTTATCTTGTGTACAACAATATAATTTCATTAAAATTCCCTCAACCGTTTTCCATTGAAACCCGATTAAACACAGACATTTTAAAATACTAGATTTGGTCGTTGAAATCGTTACAAATATAAAATTGTACTGATTGTATAAATAGATAATATTTTTTAAATATATATTAGATATTATATCTATAATTTGAGAAAAATGATATCCTAATTATTAGGAAAAAACAATAATATGATGCATTTATCAAAAAATTAACAAAAAAAACAATCACTTATTAAAAAAAAACTTGATAGTTACCAAATAATAGTATGTGTAAAACATCAACAGCTTCTAATAATTAATCTTCTGCTTCATTATGCAGTGTCCTTTGCGCCTGAAAAATTAAAATTCAAAATGATTATGAGCCAGAATATATAAAATAAAGTTAAATGAAGGATATATAAGTATATCAAAGAATAAATACCAATACAATATTTAAGCTATTAGAAATGTGTGATTGTTTATTTATTAACTTTACTTTTTACAATTGTTTAAAATAAAATTAATTTATTCGCATTTATAAAATTTATATGTTTATTAAAGTAATTCACATTACAAAAAAATAATGAATGAAACAAGAAATCTAATAAGTTCCTTTAAAAGTGACTGTAACAGTGAAAATAGCCGCAAAGTTTTTATGAAAGTTGTTATCAGTATTATTTATTATGGAAATAAGGCTAACATCAGTTTCCCAGCGTCTCAAGCCAGCGAGGCGGTGGGAAATGAAGCGGCATGTACACTGTGAGAAAATAACATAATATTTAGGCAATTATCAATTTTTCGTGCTAATTTTGTTGATTGTTTGTTTATTTAGTTAGTATTTTATATAGTTACAATATATAGTTACAAAGAAGGCATTTGGTACATACATTATGAATATAAATGATTTAGCTTGGGTCACATTTAAATATACATAATACATATATGTATAATCTAATTAAAAAAATAGTTTTTGTAATACATTAGTACCATTCAATAATATTAATATTCAAAAACAATTAATTTATACTAATAAATAAGAAAAGGAAAAAATGCCTATGCAATTAAGAAACTAATTTCAAAAATATTTTATAAATGAAATCATTTAATGTAATTAAGTTTTAACGACAATAATTAGAAAAGTGTCCGTGTTATCTATGATTGTACAGTGACGTCATGAACTTAAGACAGGCGATGACATGTACATGCAATGGAATGTGGCGCGAGCTGCTCGCGTAACGGTCCGCCGCGACTCGCGAGACCTCTTGCGTATCAACATTCCCAGGCTCCGTCGCAGAGCCGATTGCTCTCAGATAAGCCGGGCTCCTATACGAAACCCAATAAGCCATTTCCTTGAAGCTCTCACAAGATACCGCTCCCGTCAAAAAAATGACCAAAGCCGAACAAAAAATCCGTGAATAAGGCGGGAGCGCGAAATAAGAATGGCCCCAGTTCTGGGAAGTCTCGGCGCCGGTGCAGTCTTTACAATCTTTATAATGATTGCTTTTTGTGGCGCGACCCTTATTGGCTTATCGTGGGGCTGAGAACTGGCACGGCGAAACGTGCGAAACGGCTCCTTCCCGCCGCCTCACCTACCCCTACCTACAGCTACAAGCTCAATGTGATGCGCCCAGCGCGGTGCTTAAACGTAGATCGGCAATCACAAGTTTTAAAGCACGGATAATGCGTGTAAGAAAACATTCTACAGCACGATTCAAATACGAGAATGAATTATGAAACGATCACCCTTACTTATACTTATACAGCTGCGGTTATTATAATGACTGACCAATTTAGTTATATGAAATTGATATAACGTACTTGGAATTTTTTTTCTTAAAGCTCTCACAGAATTAAGGAACACGTACATTTCCATGCCAAAGATCCTGATGCCGAGGAGCTGCCGAGGTATATCCCGCAGTGGGAGGAAGCGTGGCGTAGGAAATACTTATGAAATGTGCGCCCACGCTGTTCACTGCAACGGAAGCGGAGGCGCACAGCTCGTAGTTGTGCTTTGTCTGTAGGCGTCGCAACCGAAATGCCCCATATTTATTTGTCGGTTAGGTATTAATAGGTTGGAGCGTGTAAGCCGATATGTCATATCAAAATCAAAGGTTACTGAGAAAGGGCGCGTATGGATGTGCGAACTACGTCAGCATAAGATGCTGTGAGCTGTGACTCAGTGGGTACACGTGTCGCTGACGTCGCATTTGACTCATCTTACTTGCTACTGTTTCTAGGGAAGCTTATTACCCCTTTATAGACTTTTCTCTATTAAAAATATTATTCTTTTTCATAATCAGGCAATAGCAACCTACGGCCTGAATTAAATCATATATTTATGTGATGAGATGAGGGAGAATATTTTATTACATATATTAAAACTTTTTAGTATCTAATACCTAAGTGTCATTCAAAAATTAGAACTATACTAAATTTAAATTGCATTTAATTGCAATCTATTTTTACTCATACAAAAAGTGCTGAACCATGTATAATGTATCTAATATATTATTTTTATATTAAATTAATTTCGTAAATAATTAATTTTGCAGAAATTATTTTTAAGGGATTATTATTATACATATATGTATATGTATATCTACGCGGAATACTAACTACAGATAGTTACAAGAATTATAATATTCCATAATATAAATGTCTGAACTACAATAATTAATTTAATAACTTATTTCAGTTGTTAAAAATATCAAATCCTACAATAATTAATTGAATGAATATCGCCTGCAACACGTTATAGTAAAAAGTTTAAATGAGTACGATGAGGGCTAGTAAACAAGAGGTTAATGAACAGGGGGGAGAGAGGAAAGACACAAAACATTTACGGGCTAAGCGCAATAGGGACGCTGCTAGAGCCAGACGTCACGCACCAGTGATGTCGTATGTATGTCCTATCGAAAACGCGTTCTCCGCTACTCTTATTGTACCAAGTTATTAGTTACCTATGTATATAACAGAGATTGCTATCGTTTAAAATCAGCGCTTGTCACTACCTTCATTCATTGACATCGCTAGAGTGCAGATTTTTATCAAAACGATATAAATATAAATTAGAATATCTATCTACTCTCATATTTTATTTGGAAAACATCAATTTTATTACTACATAAATATTTAAAAAAAGTAATTTATATTGCATTAAGTTGTTGTGTTAATGTAATTATGAAAAATAATTTTAATCTTACGCAAATTCAGTAGTCCATCATCAGTGACTGATAATCACAATGTAAAATCACTTTGCACTTATTATTTCACAGTTAACAAATATCGTCCAACGGTCGAAATGACACTCGCATTTAGCACTTCGCACGAAGCCTGGCCTCAAGTAGCGGCGTTCACTAAACAACGCGATAATACAAAAAGAAGTCAGAGGTTACGATGTTATCGAAGGAGACATGAATATTCGAAGACGCGAGGGTCACGAGTGAACGGTCGGCGTAGCATCGCCCCGCGGCGTGAATGGAACGACCGACATTTTATGAATCGAGAGCCGTCGCTCATTGACCTGAGCACACGAGCGGCGAGCGCAGGGCCAGGAGCGAGCGCCGTCGGTGCCGTCGCCAGCCCGCTAGCCCGGGGCCCACCGTCGCCGGTTCCGGCGCCGACGGAAGTGACGTTTCCAGCGAACATGGCGGCGCGCGCGCAGGAAGTGCGCAGCTTACCTATCGGGACTCTCCGTCAGCGGTCTCCTCGTGTCGAGCGAAACGCGCGGACCCGCATACTCTGATAACGATATCCGCAAAAGTGCGCGCGATCACTAACTTACGAATAAATTATTCGCACTGTTATCTAAAAATATTCGTGTGCGACGCAATGTGGTCGGAGGCCGCAGAGCGAGCTGACGCGGAATCGCACACGCGAACTGCTTCCCCGCCGCGGGGAGACTGATGAGGGCAGGTCGCGCCGGCGCCGGCGGAGGCTCCGACGCACGCGCACATCGCCTGCCGTCCCTCTCGGCGGGGATGTGAGGTCGGTGGTGCGAGCGGGACCGCGACACTTCATTATCACAGTGCCGACTCGTGAACACCAATAGACCGAGGAGTAGGGACAAAATATTCGACCTTCACTTTACGTGCACGCACACGTGCGCGCGCGCGTCTCGACGAGCAGCACACATGCGCAAAGCCTCGCGAATTGCTCGCTCGTCGCAGCACGCCGCCGCACCGCACCACTGTGCTACTTTTGACAATTTTTCCAGAAAATTGACATGCAGCGTTTCCGTGAACGAGGCGATATCGTGCCACGTGGCTGTATCATGAGGGACCCGTTAAATTTTAGGCATTGCTCCTGTAATTTAAAACTACAAATTATTCTTAAATCAAATTCGCACAGTATAATTTTACTATGTATCAACAGTTAAAAGAACATTTATACAATAATTGTTATTCATATTTACCTTATGTTCAATTTCTAAAAATTCAAGTGAATGTTTATATTGTAAATAATTTTAAAATCATATTATTGACCTTTACACAAAAGAATAATCCAGCTTAGAATGCATTTATGGCACAAATTAAATAAAAAACAGGGTGTAGGTATGTAGACTAGGAATATAAGTATAAAATTATAAAATATTCTAGTAGTATCAATAATATATTAAAAACCATAGTATAATATTTAAAATAGATTAAATAACCATTCACAATAAGTAGATAGAACAAAAACTTTTGGATATTAACTTACAAATAGACTAGAGCTTGACCATTTTTTGTTTTACTAAACTTTCTGAAAATGATAGGTAGGTAGGTACTATAAAATAGAAAGAAGATATCTTACCTTACATTCTACATAAATATATTAAGTTAAATATTCAACAGTTATACAACAATTTTACTTAACAATATAACTAATTTCATTAAAACTTGTATCCAGGAAAAATATAATATTATGTTTTATCTCGCTTGTGGGAATTAATAATGATTTAATAAGGTAAAATAAAATTACACTAAACCTATGTTTACTTCTATAAGTTAGGTAGAAATATTTTCAATCTCTTTTCTACCTACCTTCATCATTTTTTTTAAATTATTTCATTTTAAATATTAATTAACTAATAAAAACGAATAATAATAAATAATTAATTTCATTAATGTCAATAGAATAGGTACTTTACACAACCCTTACAAGATACTTTGCATTCTATTGTACCTACTACTACATAAAAAAACTTATATTTTCGATAATTGCCAATTATTATGATTGTAATTGTATCTAAATTTATAGGTATTTAATATACCTAGTACTAAATATTAAAAAATGAAAATTTAAAAAAAATACATAATTTTTTTTATTGTTTCATATTGGAAAACATGTCTAAGGCAGCTAAATGATTAAGCCCCCTATTATTTAAATGTTAATAAAATTTGGATATTTTGCCTAAAATATATAAGAACGGAAACAAAATCGTAGAACAAGTATGTAGAAACTAGGCAGCTGTACAAGATTTAATTTAATTGAGTCTACCTAGATTTTGCAAAATTACGTAGCCTGATTAACAAAGTAATAATTTTATTAATAACTATAATTTTATATAAAGAATATAAAGAGACATTTTAGGTGAATAATTTTGAACACACTTTATTGTAAGTAAATCATTCAAAGTAAATCAATGAGGTAGGTAGGAACATAGATCTACTAAGTACGTATCATACTTGTATGTGATTTCGGATTTAGTACTATATACAAAAAAAAAAAATTTGAATTAAAGAAATTGTTAATTGACCATATGAGCGAATTAAATAATTAAATTATGAAAGCTATTTAATAAATAGTTTCTAAGAAAATAATTAATATACACCAATCTCGTAAAAAATCAGCGAATCAAGGGGTGCCCATAAAATGCCAATTTTGTGACAAATTTATATTAATATGTTGAATTTTTTTATGACCACTTATAGGCGCTGAGTTGTAGAGAGGGTTGACGGTTAAAAAGTGCGCGAAAAGTGTGTATTAGTGTTGCCACACGCGGCCGTAACCGTGCGCATGATCAAGCGCTTCACGCGTTTTCTTGTACTTTTACCACTCTATTAAATAATCTTTTTTATAAAATGTATTTTATAATTTTGCGTGTGAAATAACAATTACTATAACTGGAAATAAAGTATAAATTATATTTAATAAATTTATTAAAAAAATATGTTGGGATTTATTAGTATTGAAATAAAACATAAATTATTATTATCTACGTATGTCGCAAAAATATTTAATATCTATACAAATAATTAAAAGAATTGTTCATTATTGTAATTCAAAATATTTTTTAAATTTTAAATAATACCTATGTACCTATAAATAAATAAAATGGTATTTAAATAATATAAATTTTAGTTAATATATTTTTATACTTTACTAGAGTAAAACGGTTTCGCAGGCACTCGTCAAATATTTACTGGATCAATCAAATAATAGAGATTGATCATACCTAATCTAATTTTGCGAAATACTTGATTTGTCAAATTCTTCGTCAAATTAGCCTGTAGTCATTCATATCTTTTACAATCAAGAAGAAATTAAAACCGCAAGACACAAACATAGTTTGGTGAAAATAAGTTTAAAAAATATTTTTTCTTATCATTTAGTAAAAATAATAATATTAAAATAAAATTAAGATGGTATGCGTATGGGCATCTACCTTTGAACATCTATAATACCTGTGATAGGCATACCGATTTTAAATAGTAAGTCGATGACTTTGACATAATCAACCAAATGTTTGTGAAAATTTTAAAAATCTCAAAAATCGAAAAGTCCATTCTGATCCTCTCACACAAAGCCACTATTCTATGCAGGCCCATAACAGCTAATCTCATCTAATAAATAGTCGCATAAACATCGAAACTAAAATATATAAATAAAATAGGTGTGCGACATTGTACAATAAGTTGACCAATTACACATTTGTTGAATTAAGGTTTTGACGAATAACTGATTTGACGAATCGCTAATTTGACAAATTAAGCTTTGATTTTTATAGAATACTAGCAGAATCCGCTTCTTCGCTCGCGGTAAAACTACAAAAAGAAACTCTAAAATGGTAGGTTTCATACAAACTTTCATCCGCTATTTTACCCCCTTATGAGATGTATTTCTAAATATGCTAAAACACGTATTTGATTAATTGTATTGTAGAGCATTTATACCAAGTTTAAAGTAATTCTGATCTAAAACATTTTTTTTTATTGTATTATAACGTGTTTTCCCGTGGGAAAGACATAATCTCCCGCGGTAAAAAGTAGCCTTTGCCACTCTCCAGCCCTCCATCTACATTTACACAAAAAATCACGCCAATCTGCCCAGTCATTTCGACGTAAAAGAAAGACAAACAAACAAACAAACAAACAAACAAATAAACAAACAAACAAATAAATAAACAAACATACACACTTTCACATTTTTAATATTTGTATGGATGGCCAATTAAGTATTTGACAAACGTTTGGGCAACCAGTAAAATTATTGGGGCGTGTATGTTGTGTAGGAATCCGGTATTCTTATCAATGACGTAGGGCTGTGCCTATCTTATCTTGGTCTCACAGTTTTATATAAAAATTACTTCTTTTCAAAACGAATCTTACCAATTGTCATACTATTTGAAGCTACTTAAATATCTAACGTTTAGTTGAGATAAATGATAATTTATACTAAAATATTTTAATTATATGCAGCTTATTAGTAAAGTATTCCTTTTTACCCGACTACGGCGAAGCCCAAGGGAGGGATGGGTATGTATGTATATATGTATGCATGTATGTATCTATCTGTGTATATGTTTATGTAAATATGTGTGTATGTCTTTATGTAGGTATACGTCTGTATGTGCATACGTACATATGTCCGATCCTATCCTTCATAAACTTGTTACCATCTTTTCAGTTCGCTATTTACGCAGTTGTTATTTTTTATATATATTTTTACCTTTCATCTCTTAAATACATTGGGTTTTTAAATTTATTCTAATTATTTCACATAATTGCAATAGCCTCAGAGTTTTGGCTATAACATATACATTAGGCATACAATAGAAATCGCATTATTATGTTGTTTTTAGATTACATTCACTTAACAACACGTTGGGGAATGCTATAATTGCCAGTGTAAAAATAATAGCCACACTACGAGCAGCCAACTTAGAAACTATAGTAGGTAATTTCTGTCTTGAAATATTATTTGCTGAGTGGGAATTGCATATTTTTTTTAATTTTTAATTTATTTACAATATAGAAAATTACAAATTTACTTAATTATACATACATATATACAAAACAAAAATACACTTAATAATTATTAATGTACAAGCCCGCGTGGAATAGTGACAAAAATGCTAGCCGCATTCCCCCGCTGAATGGCATTTTTTAAGTTTATTTTTTTTCAATTATTAATCGAATACTTACAAAACGAATTATTTATTGAAAATAATAAAACCCCTAGTATAAAGGGTATTTATATATTTTACATTTATTAAAGAATAGAGGCACCTAATTATATTAATAATTATAATTATAAAAGTTTTTATACTTAGTAGTAGTCATTTTTTGCCTGCCAGTATGTCTGTATGACTCGAGCATGTGAGACTGAATTAAAATATAACAAAGTTTCGTTTCAATCCGCCGAGTCGATTCAAATTCTGGACCTGTCCAATATAAAGAAAGGGGCATGTCTAGTGGTATTGGGTGAAATATAAATACGCGGGTGTAGCCACGGTCAGCTGTTACAAATAAAATAATTCTAAATAAATAATACAATTTTTAAGCTATACGTGTAATTAGCATTTGTAAATTTGTACACGTTGCAGAACATATGAAGAATATGATCATAATAACCATACCACAGTTTAAAACAACTACACAAAAGTTTTTAATTTTGCACTTTATCAATAAGTCGAGTTGTGCATACAACAAAAATGTCTGGAAGTCGGTTTTTTTTAGTTTTTATTTGTTTTATTTTTATTGTAGACGTAATAAGCATGTAATTTAATAACATATTTGACTAAACAATTTATTTAAAAAATATATTTATTGTTGATTTTTTTTAAAACCGCTCGATCGATTTTGATAAAATTTATATGGGACCACCTGGGAAGTATACCCTTTGAAACAAAAAAAAATCCAAATCGGTTCAGGCTTCTTGGAGTAATCGGTGAACATACATAAAAAAAAGAAAAAAAAAGTTCCGACGAATTGACAACCTCCTCCTTTCTGGAAGTCGGTTAACAATATTAAAGAAAAGAACTATAAATAAAGTGATTTAATTCAATTCAATTCTTTAGGTTTGTGGCTTCTAGGAGTGCAAATAAAGTGATACTTCTTTGTTACATTGAACGTCGACTAATAAAGTTCTCCGTAAGTACCTACAATGGCAATATTTATAATACTCGTAAAAAATGTAGTTCGATATTTTCCTTAAGAAAATAGTTTTTAAAACTTTACTCTTTTCTAGTTACATAAGAATATAATCGTAGACTATTTGTCATTTAAGTAATATTTTTAATGTGCAATTGAACAATCAAAATGACGTTTGACAATAATCGGTGTCTCATTTATTCCTATATATATCTATTAGTCAACTCCTGATCAAAAACCGTTATTATACGTTGATAATAGGTATGTCATTAAAGTAAAAATATGGTGTTCAGAGGGTAGATTAAATTAATATAAAATATCAGCTACCATCTAAAGTTTGTAAATAGTTGTATGTACAAATGAAGTTGTTGGCTATTAATTTATGAATAGAAGTGACTAAGTAAAGAAGGAGAGCGGTGTGTGGCGTCCTGGACTCATCTTCTGTCAGCCGTGACGTCCGGTCGGGGTCAGCGAACGCAGGGCTGCCGATCTCTTTCTTATGCTCGACAAACGACCCTCCGAGATGTCGTTAACATGATTGCTACTTTCTTCTTAGGATATTCCCTTAACCAAACGGACGCACTGATTAAGTGAACGTTTCACTGATCACATGCATCGGACACGATTAACATATTGCTCTATTATGGTGTAGCAGAGATTTCAATTATATTACTAAAGTTTTACGGTGATAAATGTAATATTTTTCATTTATTATTGTATAACAATATTATCATTGCGTACGCGTCGTCAGCGCGAACAGATTGATCACGGCAATGTATCACACGTGCAGTCCGCGCTAGCGGCCCTTCTATTTGTAAACCGGCGCCGAGGGCCGCGCATTCCTATCGTGCCTCGTGCCCTGCGTTCCGCCACCCAATCACTCGCTGGGATGCACTTAGGCTCGATATGCGATATCTAGTGAACCATTTACATTACTGCCATACTTTAAGGTTTTGTGTTCAGTTCCTCACATCCAACGCAGTGAAAATGACACATGACTGTTAAACCATCTAATGCTATAAACAGTCCAAGAATTTGACTCGATTCTCGAGTTCTATTAAAGGCAATGCTACTGTAACTGTCAAATGCGCTATATTGTTGGGAAGATCTCGTTACATACTCCAGCCATATAAGGGTGGCATTTTGAAAGGTACAAATAGCCTAAATTGAAGTACCTATTCTCCACAGTACCTACAATTACATATTAAAATAGCATATATATATATATATATATATATATATATATATATATATATATATATATATATATATATGATATATATTATTGATATATGTATGTATGTATGTATATGTTATTATGGTACATACATAAATGTATTTTAAACTAGGCATAATGTAAAATGCACTTTGACTGCCTCGGTGGTGTAGAGGCTAGCATGTCGATGTATGCACATCCGGAGGTCCTGGGTTCGAATCCCGGGTCGGGCCAAGTTTAGTTATTGAGTCTTAACTCTCACTGATCGTGTCGAGTTTTCGCCCCACCGGAGTATGAGGGTGATAGCTATAGAGAGAGGACTTGTGTCTGAGTGCACAGTATACTAGTGCACTATTCGAAATTATTATTATTAATGTGAAATGAAATTATATAATATGTAACCTAATAATGCAATTTTAGCTGGTGATATGTTTCTTAAAGCACAATTTCTGTTACGAAAAGCTATTATAATGTTACGAAATTGAGTAGGTATACGACAAAATCAAAACAGGACTTTTTTATCTTATCCTTCGTGTAACTGCTTACAATATACGGTAATTTACAAATATGTAATACTAAATGTTTAGTATTGATAATAATGAGTTGTACCGAAGTACAGTTCACGCATTCCAATGAATGTTGAGCGGGGGCGGAAAGGGGGGAGGAAGCATCGCATGCCTGCGCGTGTCACTAGTAACAATCGTTATAACAGATTCTAACAGGTGTCCACTTCATAGCAATTTCGGTATAGCTCACAGTAGCATATGAAACAGTATACCTATTTGACGTGAATAGATCCTTTGGTATCTTATGTTTTTTTAATGGTATCGATAGTGCTAGGGCAATTTCGTGTAATTCTAAGCAGGCCTTTATTAGCTTCACTAGTTACTAATTATATGGTATAATCAAATCGTGGATAAGTAGAATTTTACCCACTTGTGATTATCTATTTTAACTTTGTAAAATTTTTAATTAGGACATCAATGCAGTAATTTGATATCATCTATCTGATCTCATGATAGAGTTAGGAAACGGATAATGGAAGCCTTAAATGACTCCAAGTCATACCTTCGAATTTGGACATTTGACTTTGCTTTGGTCAAAAGTGTGTTAATTTAATTAAAAATGTTTAACATTAAAGAAGATTCTAATTAATGTACAGATAATATAAGATTTCAGAACAAAATATCTGATGTATGATTATTTTAGAACCGAAGTCTAATAGTTTTATTAACTTATAAATATTCAACTCGGTCCCTTTGAATCCTCACAGCGTCGATTACCAAACTCTCGGACCAAATTTTAAATAGGTAACTACCAATGACATACAGAGATGTACTTACGAACATTTTTCTAATAAATTAATCGATAACTTCTTCAAGTTGCCTAAATACCGTCCAACACCCAGTTGAATGAATTGATCAATGAAAAAGTGTTTACTGGAATGTTGATGGTTGCGGTGCAATGTCATAAATGACTCATGACGATCTTCGATCCGGCAGTCAGCATTAGATAGTAAGAACATGTTTTGCTGGAATGCGGATGCTTCCGAGAATTAACAGCTAAGCGATCTATTTGATCGATCCCTTCCTATCGTGATTGTGTCACTGTTAAATCATTTCGGTGAAGTTACTTTGATGTCCTACCAAATGATTTCATCATTTAACTGTGCTGCTACATTGGAACTATCGGCTCGGTTGTAAAGTACAATATTGTTGTTATGGGTTTTATAGAAATTATTTTAATTTTTTTATCTTTATGAACACTGATCGGTAATGGAGAAGTACCGGTGGAGCAACGTTGTTAGATTGAGTTAGAGTAGGTAGTGGGCTGCGGGGCGGACGCAAGCTAGCGGGCTGTGGCGCGTGTGCGAGGCAGGTGCGCCCGCGCAGCCGGCCACCTCGTTACCGTGGCGAGAATTCCCCACTACCTGAAATTGTTGCTTATTTAGGGTTGTACGGGTGTTGCTCTGGATACATAGTATAATTGCTCATCCGCCTGATCGTCCGATTACACTAATTTTATTCCGT